GCTATTGCCAATTTTAATTGGGCAATTAAATTTTTTACATAAAAACGGTTGTGCGGATTTTTTTGTAAATTTCAGTGAATTTTCTGTGTAGCACGAAGCAAATTCTTTAAAATTTTAAAAGATATCTACACAGAGGATCTCTTGTAAAAAATTAAAATGCCCCGCCAAAGGCAATAGCTGATGTGGCGTGGTTCCTTTCTGCTTCCCTAATGCGGTCCATTTGATATAAATTTCACACAAAAATGGCGGGTAATATTCTCCACGGTGAGTATATTAATGAAAATATTTAAGATAAACACTAATCTAGCTTCATCATTTGTATGGAACAACGCAAAGGAGCCTTATGACAGGAAATGCAAAATAAGTTGAAACCAATAGGTAGTTACGGTTGTTGAGTCTACAGAGTTCAAAAAAAAAAAAAAGTTTTACAAGAGGATTTGGAAAAAACCCCAATTTTAAATTACCCAGTAGAACAGGGGTGGAACAATTTTCATCAGCCATCTTACGGCTTCTAAAGAGAAGTTGTAGGTGATAACTAACTGATTTTAACACTTTATTCTTTTTCGAACATATATCCTTCTCTTAAATATTGAGCATACGTCACTAAGGTCTTTATTCCCACATAGCACATAGCGCATACTTAATATTTAATTGAATTTTGCTTCTCCTTTGAAAGCAAAAAGCCATTCCAGAGTTGAAGAGAGTACTGATAATCTAACTGTATGGATGAGGCAAAAATCACGGGAAAAAGAAATTGCTGGTACAACAATTCAATTGCTAAAAACAGTGAGTGCAATGTTTCAACGCAGATTTTACAACAAAAAATGCTACTTTAACCACATTGTAAACTAATTTGACCACAGGGGTGGTTAAAGTAGCATTTTTTGTTGTAAAATCTGCGTTGAAACGTAGCACTCACTGTTTTTAGCAATTGAATTGTTGAATCAGCAATTTTTTTTTCCGTGATGTTATAGCCTTTACACTCCTGTTTGCAACTAATGATGACAAAAATAACATTTACACAATCAATCTATGATTTTCGATTAAGGGTTACAAACAATGAGTACAACATGGATTTTTGAATTTGACAAAATAAAGAAAACAAAGAAAAAAAATGAAGTAGATTGAAGAAAGCTAGAAAAAGAAAATCAGTAAAAATAAATGGATGAAGGTAAACATACCTATTTTATACATAAAATAATATTCTACAATTTAACAGTTTAATATAATTTTCAACATTTATTGATTAAACTTAATAAGAAAAATAAATTGAAATAAAATATAAATAAATAAATTACCGATATGTATACACAATTTTTAATAATATCAACACATCATTGTTCGGTGAGACAAAAGAAAAATGTCTGACTATTCATATCACGGAAGTTATTTATGCACCAATGATTGAAGTTTTACTGCTTTAAAATATTAAAAACAAAAATCAAGAAAAAATCCAAAATTTTTGCTCGGATTTTTGTTCCTGAGCAACAAAAATTGTACGGAAAGATTTTGCTCAGTAAGAGGAGGCAATTAAGAAAAGAAGTATTGAAAAACCGCTGAAGTTTTATTTACAAACAAAATACTCGTAAGTTCAATACCTAATGAAACAGGTGTCCATGACTGGAAAAATTTCTTTCCAAGTTTTTTTTGCACTTATTGTTTCTAATTCTCACTCATAAAGTTAAAAATAAATGTGTGAATTGGAAGAAAAAAATAAAGAAAAGACACCTGAAAAATGCAAGACCTACACTATAAAACAAGTCTCAAACATAAAGATTGAATTATGATTTCCTAAAATTTTACTATCATCCTAAAGCAAACTATCCATACATTCCACTTCACTTTAAAGAAAAAAGAGGAAAATGATCTGGATTTTAGATGGTGAGGAAATTAAAAAAAAAAGGAGAAACCTCAAAAGTTTTCAAGATCTTGAAAATTACATCTTTATCAGGAAATTAGACATCAGGAACTTAAAAGGATCCCTCAAGACTGAATGAAAGGCCATAGATAGCTTATGGCTTTAATCCACACACATTTCCTTCTGCAAAAAAAAGCCATGTCTGATCTTGCATCCTGGAGAAACCCTTAGAGGATTTCGAAAATAAATAAATAATAAGTGATAATAAAAAAACCAAGAACAAAAAAAGTGTTGAATAGAACTTAGAAGTTGTCAAAGAATGAACATTTTCAGTTAAGACTGAACCTTGAAAAAAATTTATAAAACACAGAAATGGATTTTAAATGTAAAAACCATTTCTCAAAGATTTGTTCCTAGATATACTGAACAATAACAATTGTCTAAAATGCAACCAACACATAAATAATTAAGTACTTAAATGTTCTGATTCTGGATAAGAATTTCTGTCTGTTTAAGTGGCACAGATTAATAAACGAACAAACCTAATAGCTAAGCATCCCAATATTACACTAATACAGACTAAACTTTAAAAAAAAAGGAAAAAACGTAGCAGCAAGTAATGCATTTGGTTTTGTTAACACGGATGGTAGGCGGCATTGTATTCAGTGTTTAATCTTAGTTCTATTATTCAAAATTAGCCTATTTATTTCTTTTGTCCGTACCTAATTCTAAATGTTGCTTACTTAGTTTGATTAAAATTCAAAAGGAACTTTATACAAAAAAAAAACGAACAAAAAAAAAAACAAACAAAAAATTTCATATTTTTGGCACAGATCATTTTGACAGAAAAATAAAGACCTTAATTGAAAAATACTGATCATAAATTGAGCATGTAAACATACAAAAAAGAAGAAAAGAAAAGAAAAACCCACAACGCTAAAAATGAAGGTCTAATCCCTACAATTGTCTCGAGAGGTTTCCACCGTTTCTAACACTTCATTAATGATAACATGGAGAGTACGATCTTTGAGTAAAAACCGTAAAAACGCACATTTAAAAAAATTTAACAGAGTGCTTGAATTAAAAATATAATTCCAATTTAAAAAATCCCAATCACAAGCTCCTTTCCACAGAGAGTTCTTGTATTTTGAGAATAAATTATTAGCAATTACACTTAAACTGTACATATTTGGGGAATGTAAATAAAATGCGCTTGTATTTACTTAACAGAGTTCCTTAAAGTTCAAAAAAATATTTAAACTCAACTTGTGATCAAAAGTGTATCATAAGCCCTGACAAGTTTTGACCAGCGCTTTTTGGGGGCGAAACCATCGATGTTTGGATAAGATGAGTTTTGTGACTGGGAAAATAGCCAAGTTTTTCTCAGTATTGCTTTGGTTGATAGAGCAATGACTTCTTAAGATCGTATTTTCTTTGTGGAAAAGTATCTTATAAAATCAATTTAAAAAATATTGGCAACAGAGGTAGCATCAAAAATTGGAGGTTGAGAAATTTTTTACACAGTTATGTGTGCCAGTAGATGGAAATTTCTCCTGCAAAAGCGCTGATCAAAACTTTCTAGGAAAAGTCATCAAGTAATTTGACCACAAAACCTATTATAAGCAAAAAAAAAAGAAAATTCAAGCCAGTAGACATTGTTCTGTGATAAAATTACGAATTATGACACAGGTACTTGACTCATGACCACTAATCATTATACGAAATCAACCTCTTTTTTAATTTGCACACATTGCACATTTTTCCGCACATTGCTTTTTAACTTTGATGAGTTAAAAAGTAAAGATTACTTTATCTACATTGAGTTTACCAAACAACGCAAGAATGAAGTGACATAGAAATACTTCACAATTGGCATAAGCCTCACAAATCTGCAATTGAGCCATGAAGGCAAACGTATCTCCCTTTTCAATAAATAAATCTGAGATTATTGCTCAAACACAAGATAAAAAGGACAGGAACAATAAAAAATGGGAGGGAGTAGAAGTAAAAGAGAAATTAACGAGAGCTTCTTTGGTTTCAGAATTTTAAAAATTATAAATAAAAAAAAAAATTAAATTATAATTGACTCTAAACTTGCTTAAAACAAAACCCCTCTATGTTTGTTCACACAGTTTACAACATTACAAAGAACCTTCTTTAAAAAAGCAAAATATAAATTAAAAAAGGTGATCATAGTTAATATCAAAATTAGGGTAAAAAAAATGATGGGGATAAAGAAATAAATATAATGATAATGTTTTGAGGAGAAAATGAGAGACATTACCTCGTGATAAAAATTATCTTGCACTTGTAGCTTACAAACTGGCAGTTGATGAAGTGAGCTTATATAATTCTGAAATTCACCAAAGAATGCATTACTGCTCCAATTAATTGATATTGTTGAAAGGTGATCCATCTGGTTGAATGTTTGATTTGGAGAAAGAAACTCTCAGGTGACTTTGCTCACTTAACTGGAAGTTGTGCATTTTCTGATGAAATGATAAAAGCAAAAACGAATGAAAATACATCATTAAAAAATTTGGGAGCTTACTTAGAAAAATTTCAGTATAGGAAACACAACTTCCCAAAACTTTTGTTACGTGAGAACATTCTGTTATGCAACATTATGTCACAATTTTTGACATCCAAGATCTTCAAAGAGACTTTATCAGTGCAGATACTTCATCAAAGTACACAAAAGTACAAAATGTTCACAACAATTGCAAACTCGGCATTTTTGACTCATACAAAATTGAATAGTCCCAATTTATTGCCACAATTATCAACAAATTTACCCCTCATTTTCAGTGTCAAGTAAAGAAAAAAATGATAAAAACAAAATGATTACTTTCGCTTTGTGCCCACGATTCACCTCCTATTTGCTGTGATTGGGCTGGCAAGATAAGATATTTTTTCCACCACTGAAAAGCAGTTTGATATGTTAAATTTGTTTGTCCTTTTCCATTTAAGTAGATTGGCGGTTGTCAGATATTCAGATCACTACAGCAATTTTCGTTTATGTATTAGCTTCTACCAGGTGAAATATTAATAACAACGTAGAGCAAGACAATAAGAGATAAAAATTGGGGACCGCATCACTGACACCACACCAGACTGGCAAGGGCAAGGATGTTGGCCTCAATCACTTCTTTTTGATCAGCTTATAGATTACATCATCGAGTGGAGAGAAAGGGGGTATGACAAGTGCCACATGAGGAACAAGCTGTGAGTTAACAAGCCAGCAAAGAGTTAAAAAGTACTTATTATTCGCTGCAATTCGACGTTTTTACCTCACAGCCAAAAGTCCGATTTAAAGGCAAAATACCCATTTTACGGTAAAAGGTGAAATTTGCTCTACTATTTTAAAGTATAAAGCCAAATGTTTTCTATAAATTTTCATAATTTGTGTTTTATAATTGCAATTTATGGACATTGTCTCACAACAAAAAATTTGCCATCTGTTTGCCACAATCCTGAGATGGTGAGATTGGGCATTTTCCGCACTTTTGGAGCCGGTTACTAAGTTTTAGAGTGATTCAATTTGCTCTAATACATTCAGCTTTCTTTTTCCTTTTCTACCTTCATTCCAATTTGGCTAAACATTCGCATATATTAAGACCAGCTTGATGGTGTGGTAAGGGAACGATGAAAGTTCTATTTTCTTTGATAAGCCAATAGGTGCTAATGGGTTTCTTGAGTCTTGTGGGAATGCTTCTACCTGATTGGCCCACATATACTTTTCCCTAACGACTTAATTCATGAGGAGGGCACAGTTAGAGAAATGAACTTACCACTAATGCAGAGACAGCCTCATCAACAGAGCCCAACTGAATAAGAGCCATTCTCCTGTCTTTCCTGCATAACAAGGCATAAGAACAGGCATTTACACATTATACACAGGCGTTATACAACCGATTGAATAATAAAGCACATGGGTTCTCAACTGAATGTTACTAAACTAAAGATCTTTTAAAAATTGTAATATACCCAATCTAAATTAAGGTTCATACTGATCATACAATATAATTACCGAGGCTACCAGTTTTGGAATGTTGAAAAAAAAATTAGGCGCAGAAATAATTTTTGAACCAATTAGGTATGCCATTGAAAATTGACCAGGATGACTATAACCACTATTGATATCAGACATGTTTTCCTATTAAATTTCAAGTGGAATATACATCATTATATTGGAGCTGATCGCAAGCACGAGATTCAAGTTCAAACATTCTCCTCCTGCGCCTCACTGACCACTCGTAACGGCAGCCTCCCCCACCCGGAACCACGACGCCCGCTTCCCCGCCGGCTTGGCAGTGCCCCGCCCTAACCTGACCCACTGACCATGGGCACCCTGTATCGCGCCACGCTCATTGACTGCTGGAACACTACGCAACCGCAACTTGTTGTTCCTTTCAACCCCACTCTTTAGCAAGCACAACGGCTGGTGGCGAGTAAAGAGGCTCACCTTACGTCCTCCCCAAAAATTTCTGGAATGTTCCTAGATTAATGGAGGGTATCACGTGGCGATGAATAGTAACTGTTCTTGGAACTCTAGAACTCTCTCGACTTTTTTCCCGGTGATACGTTAGTTAAAAAGACCCTCATTAGTCTGGAATTTTCTAGAAATTTCTCAGACTTTCATAGGGGGACTTCCGATGGTTTTTCTGCAATTTCCTGGAATTCTCTCCAATTTTCTTCAAGTGATTGGCAATGAGAGTGACGCCCTCCCTACATCCTTTCCGGCACCATCCAGAATTTTCTAGGACTTTTGGAAAAGTGGTGTAAGGGGGCAAGTGGGTAGTTTCTGCAACTTCCTCGACTTCAATCAGATTGTTACTAAGAAAAATGTGGCGGGTTAGGAGGCTCCTTCTCCGTCCTCCAAAAACTTTATAGAATTTTCCAGGACTTAGGGTGTGTATCGCACTGTCACAAGGCGATGAATAGTAACTATTTCTGGAACTTTCCAGAACTTTCTTGAATTTTCTTCATTAAGAAAGTGTAAGTAAAAGAGAACCCTCATTATGCCTCTCCAGAACATTCCAGAATTTTCTCGGACGATAGTTTTCTGGAATATTTCCGAACTCTCTCAAATTTACTTCAAGAGATGCGTTACTAAATTAACTGAGGCTCTCGCCCTGTCCTTTCCGAAGCTTTGTAGATTTTTTTTTTAACTTTTGGGAGAGTGTGTCTCAAGGCGACGGGTGGCAATTTGTTTCTAGAACTTTCTATAAATGTGGCTCGCGAAGCGCGAGAAGAGGGCTTTACCCCCTGGACAGCCATCCCGGGTGCGCAAAGCGCGCCCAGCACGGCTGGTATAGCATACCTACAATTGAATATATTTGAAATTTCCAACACCATATTATATATGTGAAACAGGCGTTTCTAATTCACACTTGAATCAGTCAGTTCAATTCAGTAATATTTCCTACTTGAAGAGGAGGAAGGGGAAAAAAAATCAAAGAAGGTCAGACTGACCACAGAAAAAATTCTTGTACATTGGTCAGTATATCGATGTTAATTATAACTGAATGCTACCTCTCTTCTTGTACATAAACCTTGTTAACTTGTCCAAAAAAATTCAGCACATAAGGAAAATTTTCAATTGCAGAAGCAAAACATACAAATACAGGGTGTTTCAGACCACCCGTACCAGGCCTTTTTCTCGGTTGGTATAGGTCGTACGAAGTCGGAGACCGCGGGGTTGAATAGGGAATTGACCCCAAGGAATCCGAATTTCGTGGTCCCGAAACCCCCCCACCTCCCTTTGGGGGGTAAAGGGGGGTCACGATGCTAAAAGTCACGGTTCCCGAACGAATTGCGAATAGATCGCATCAGAATTGAAAAGCACGGAAAATTTCACGTGGAATTGACCCCTAAAAATCCAAAATCGGACCATCCAAGGCCCAAAAATGATCCCCTAAAGAGGGGGACAGTACCCCCCTCCATAATTTCTCTTTGGTCTCAAAATTGACGTAGATTCTCCAGAAAAAGACAGTTTCCCAGGTAATCGACCTCGATAAATCCAAATTTCATGGTCCCGAAGCTTCTCTAGCTCCCCTTGGGGGGTAAACGGGGGGGCCCAATTTTAAAAATCGGGGCTCCTTTCCGAATCGAAAATTGATTGCATCCAAATTGAGGAGCAGAACACATTTACATCTTAAGTGACTCCTAAGAGTTCTAATAGACCCCCTGAACGGCAGAAAGTAACTCCCTGAGGAGGGGGGCTCCGCCCCCGCCAAAAATTTCTCAAGATTCCTCTTTGGTCGCAAAATTGACGTCGATTCTCCAGAAAAAGACGGTTTCCCATGTAATCGACCCCGAGGACTCTAAATTTCATGTTCCCTGAGCTCCTCGGGGTCGATTACATGGGAAACCGTCTTTTTCTGGAGAATCGACGTCAATTTTGCGACCAAAGAGGAATCTTGAGAAATTTTTGGCGGGGGCGGAGCCCCCCTCCTCAGGGAGTTACTTTCTGCCGTTCAGGGGGTCTATTAGAACTCTTAGGAGTCACTTAAGATGTAAATGTGTTCTGCTCCTCAATTTGGATGCAATCAATTTGCGATTCGGAAAGGAGCCCCGATTTTTAAAATTGGGCCCCCCCGTTTACCCCCCAAGGGGGGCTAGAGGAGCTTCGGGACCATGAAATTTGGATTTCTCGAGGTCGATTACCTGGGAAACCGTCTTTTTCTGGAGAATTTACGTCAATTTTGAGACCAAAGAGAAATTATGGAGGGGGGTACTGTCCCCCTCTTTAGGGGGTCATTTTTGGGCCTTGGATGGTCCGATTTTGGATTTTTAGGGGTCAATTCCACGTGAAATTTTCCGTGCTTTTCAATTCTGATGCGATCTATCCGCAATTCGGTCGGGAACCGTGACTTTTAGCATCGTGACCCCCCCTTTACCCCCCAAGGGGAGGTGGGAGGGTTTCGGGACCACGAAATTCGGATTCCTTGGGGTCAATTCCCTATTCAACCCCGCGGTCTCCGACTTCGTACGACCTATACCAACCGAGAAAAAGGCCTGGTACGGGTGGTCTGAAACACCCTGTATAGGTTTAGTTATTTGCCTCAGTAAGTAAACTATGATTTTTAGCAGGTAGGAAGGCGATTTCCGTTGATGAAAACAGAAAGCACTATTTTCTCACAAATACCTTGAACTGGGGAATTTTCAATACGGTAATCGTAAGATACCTATGAGAAAAGCTGTATTATACAGAGCTTGAAATTTTACCCTGTCTACTAATTCATTATGCAAGATGACTTAATCTGGGGGGATCTGATACTTACGGAAAGAATTTGAAGCCCTTAACTGTAAAACCAGTTTCCTCGAACGCTTGTTTCATTTCTTCTTCAGATACGCTTGCTCTGAAAAAAGTATCAATCAATTTAACAGTTATCCTACATAACTGTTACATAAAAATACTATTACTGGTTCTGAGAGACAGAAAAAATCTTTATTCACAATTTGGGTGGTCCAGCTCCGGTGGATGATTTTAAGATGAAAATCAAAAAAGTGCATAGCTGATTTTTTCGAAAGTATCCATTTAATCTAAATATTCTACTTAGATTATTCGTATAAAGTCATCTTCTGATAAATTAGGCTGTCATTTGTAAGTGTAGATCCTCTTTCTTCAAGATTTTGGCTGAAAAATTGAGTACGTAATACAGGGTGTACCAAAAGTCCGTCCCACCCCTGCTAACTTTTGAACGAATTGAGCTAGGGAAATGAAACTTTGGGAATGTTCCTATCTCAAAGGGGGCCATCTTGGGGGGGGGGGTGTCAAAATTTTGGTTCCCCCTCAGGAGGGGGGCGGGGGACCCCCAACTTTTTTTTTTCAAATGGCAACGACTATCTTGTGATACCTCATTCGAAAGAGCATAAAAAACTAAGAATTTTGGCGCAAACCGCAGGTCAATATCTTAATTTTTGACCGAGTTATGATAGGTCAAAGGTCAAATTTGACCTATTTTCAAAAAATCATAACTCCGGTTCAAATTACTTACCGGAAAGAAAATAACAAAACTGAAAAATTTACCAAACAGTGTCCGCTTTTAAGTAAAAATTGCAGAAATCACTTCGAACTAATTTGAAGGGGGGGTTCGGACCCCCAAATACGTCAATTCAAAGGTCATTCAATTTTCCCGCGAAATAAGCCAATTTCCCCTAGATTTGCCTCCATATTATCTCAGTAAGGTCAAAATCAGTTCAACATTACGTAGGCAATTCCCCAAATTTCGGGAAAATTTAAAAAAAAAAAAAAACGAAATTTAAACGGTCAAATTTAATCACCTTAAATTTCGTTTTTTTTAAATTTTCCCGAAATTTGGGGACTTGCCAACATAATGTTGAACTGATTTTGACCTTACTGAGATAAGAATAGATTTTTTTGCATTTCTTTTTTTTGATCAAAATGTTTGTGGAACACTCCTTGTGCTCTGGTATCAATTACTTAGTTCTGGGGTTTTGAGAATGAAGATTCCATTTCCCATGGACAAGTACATATAAGAAAAAAACTCATTTAATAACTTTTGCAATAAGGAGAGATGACAAGACACTAAAGTCAAGTGAAAGCAAGTCGGATAAGTTCTCTACATCTGTGAACAGAGAGTCCTTTAATTGTAGAAAGGAATTCTAACATGATGACCATTGAAGTAACGAAAGGAATCTACAGTGTCGGTGATCATTAGAAAATGCCTACCCACACTAAAAATGGTGAGTACTAAAATGATGGCTCATTGTAAAGAAATATGGCGACTTACGGAATGTTTGATAAATGAAGAGTGGCAGATGGCGGATAAATATTTTGATAATTCTTTGAGCCTGGTTTCTTGAACCGATGAAGAGGTGAGTTCGTATAATCTTTAGTGAGACCAGCGTCAGGTTGACCTTCCTTTGGCATTTGAACAATTTGATGTTTGGACGGCATCACTCGCATTTGTTTACCAAAAAGTCTAAGTTTATCCATATGGGTCATGGCTGAAAAAAAAAAAAAAATGGCCCATTCAAGTCATCAATAGCGATGGAAATTAAAGTAAATACGTACTCCTTAAAGCTAAGATTTAAATTTGAAACAATTCAATGGAGTTTCTGATAAAACTCCACTATGTTGACTCCTCACCCATATAGAGACCCATCATGAGAGCAAAATTAAAAGCCAGAAAACACTACATGTTTCGCCAAAATTTCAGAGAATTTAGAATTTGAGAGGAGGACAGACTGCAAAAATATACCAAGTACCTAATACAGTCAAATTCATTGATTTTTGAGCCTTAATTTTTAAATACGGTGGACTAAATTATTTTAAAATCGTGACTATTGAGCCTAAGAATCTGAGAGCTTTTATTCCAAGACTTTGCTACCAAGACTTTGGTACTGGTTACCACTCTGAACTTTCTTCATGGTGATTTACAGCTCCTTCGCTCGATCAAATGAGATAATCGCCTATTTATATTTACGGCACAAAAAAGATGATACAAATGAATAACAATAAGCCTCAGCAATTCTCAGAGAACAAAAATAGCTATCAATATATGATATACCCAGTCCACGGATTTTCAGTCATAGACACTGTCAAATATGACACCAGTGTGCTTAAAATTATTACAATAGGTAATTTTTTTTTTTAAAAAAAAGTTATATTACCTACTTACTTATTTGAGAAATTATTTACGGGCAAAAAAGTTTTTTCTAAAGTATCGAGGGAAAATACAAAAACTCATGGAAAGGACAATAAAAATCAAAAGTGACACTTTAGTTAGGTATCATGTCATGATTTGATTCTAAGATTGCATAGTTTGCAATTTCATTTCAGCAATTATACTTACAGGGTGATCTTAAAGTCCCACACGATTCCTATGACCCCTAAAGTTGTTGCCTATTTTCATGGTGGCCCCTTTATAATTTTGGGAGTGCCCAAAAGTCGTTTCCCTTGACCTGGGAGCACTCACAAAATTTCAGGTCTATATATCACCCTGTAGTTTCCATTTTCATTGATAAATGAAACAGAATTAAGAGTCAAGAGAAAAACTTACCAAGATGTGCCTGAGCAGGCTCTGCCATTTGAATTAAAGCACTGTCTTTTTTATTATAAAGTATTTTTACGCGTAATACATCCCCGTATACACCTGTGCAAGCAAAAGTGACATTCTTTTTAGAATGATGATCAATCACACTAGACAATTCACAAAATCAGTACTAGAAAATGCATGAAAATCCTTACATTGACTTATATTGCTTTTCCAGTGGGCAATGTTTTTGTCACTTTCCATAGAGAAACTTCAGTCATTTAGACTGGTGATATTGATCCAGGAGAGTTAAGCATCACAAGGTCGCTTTCATATGATCAAACATAAGTCTTTAAAATGAATGACTAATGAGCCAGTGGCTAATGAAAGGTTTACTGAGGGCAGATTACCCACTGGGCAAATCTCAAGTTGATCAAGTGAAGCTGATACTTTAATACTGTGAAACATGAAACTGATCCATTTAGCTTGATTTCACTTTATTATTAAGGACTGTACTAGGCTAAGTTATTGCATACAACTTAAACAAAAAATCTATGCAGCTGAGAAATGAAAAAAATCCACCCCACCTCCTTCCTCTTAACAAAATCTACTCCCATATTAAACAAAAGTCAATTTAGATTGCTACTTAAAAGAAAAGACTCATGGAATTGGCGATTATAATGTTTAAAAAGAAAGTAAGTTCTTTTGAGGCTTTGCACAGCTCTTAAAAGCATTTTCAGAGGCGGGTTCAGAATGATTGAGGAAAGACATCAATGCTTGGGATTTTGCTTAGAATCTATTCATGATAAATGTTTCTACTTTCAATAACAAAATTATTTCAAGCAGATTCATTCTGAGTATACTAGCGCATTTGTTCAGGATGATAACCTAGGATTGTTGTGACTAATCTGCAAATCGGTAATTTAGAAGGAATGATTTTACACCCTGTCAAACTCAACTCTGCTTCAACAGTTGCCACAGACCTATGCAGTACTTCGAAAGAGTCTTTTAATTTCAAAATTCAATCTCATAAACGAACACTTTGGCACAAGAATAGTGTTTGGTGTGACTTAATGTATTCATAGATGGTAAGTGGAGAAAAAAGTAAAGATCTTGGTGAAAAACATTGCATGTTGTGTACCATAGTTGGTGTTTCTGAAGAATGATTTATTATTTTTGTTGCACAGACTTTGTGCCATATTTCTTAGTCCGTGCGAAAATATTCTGTAAAAAGTTCATGAGAAAATACGAGGTAATATTTTCTCAAAAATTAAAAAAAAAAAAAAAAAAAAAAAAAAAAAAAAATACTTATAAAAATAAATAAATAAATATGAGCATCAAGTATCTCAGCAACGAGGATGATCTGTGATTCTGTCACCAATCCTCTAAATCATTCCACTTTGATGATTCTTACAATAAAAAAAATATGGGATGCATTTTTTCGATTTCTTCTAGCAACTGAATTTTAGGGACACGAGTAGGCATTTAGGCAACAACTGGCAAAGAGCGTTCCTAAATATTGTATTATAGTATAATAATAATTGATTCTCAATTGTTGTCAATCGAAGTTTAGCAGAAAGGAAGGAAATGAGGGCATGGACACATTTATAAAATAACCTTCCTGGGTACAGAGATCAAAAGTAGATTTGTTGTTTCTAAAAAAATGAAAAAAGCTAGTTTTTTGCTGATATAAGTGATCCAATTCATTAATCTACACTGCAAGTGTTGAAAATCAGAGATGATGCAGTTAATAAAATGAGATTATCCTGATTAGAGATGGCAATAGTAAGATTTCTGTGCGTACTATCCTGATTAGAAGATAAATTATTGTGAAATAGAAAGTAGGAAGAAATCAGAGGAAAAAGCAGGCTGCTCATAGGCCAAGGAAGATAGTCATTGCTTCGGTTTGCAGAGTAGAGGAGAACGAATTTCAAACTAATAATTCATGGAAAATTATAATCTTAGAAAAAAGTAAGAAGCCATGAGAAACTGAATAACATTGACATGCATAGATATTTCAACATAAAAAGTATAAATAGAAGAGTAGAAAATGATAGAAATGACAAATATTATATACCTGCCGACTGTAGAAATAAAGATACGCAAAGAAGAAAACGGAAGAGATGAAATAATGGGTCCATGCATAGACATTTTTGAACCAATAATTGCAAAAAAAAATCTAAGTAAAAAGTTAAGCTTTTAAATTAACAAAAATTTCAGTTCATAATAAAGAGAAACGAAGAAAAAAAAAAGAAGAAAAACATGAATTTATAAAGTAAAAAAGAAATAGATAAAATAACAAAAATAGATGGAAAATTGTAATAAAGAACAATTCTGATGAGCTCTGAAAATTGCTGTAAAAAATGATATTTTGATCTGCAGAACAATCTGGATGATAAAATGGTATACTACTTACTAAATGGATTCTCCCTCCCCCCTCCTTTACTTTCTTTTTTCCTCTTTTTTTACCCTGTGAAATTATGAAAATGTGTTTCCTGCTAGCAAGACAACTTATGGGAATATAAATTGGTAGTGTAATGAGCGAAAAATTATTTTTGGATGGAGGTTTAGGGGACTGATTTTGTTGAGAACTGATTTTTTTTTTTAAATAAAAAAATTTATACTATTACTGAGAGGAGTTTAAGTTGATGGAAAGTGTATAGCCTTGATTAGAAAATTTGGGATAGTCTTAGACCTCTCACTGATAATAAAATTTTTACAAAGTTGATAAAGGCTTGCAGAATCATCAAAGTTAAAATTAAAACGTCCAGATTTGTTTCACTTGTGATGCTGATTCAATAGAAAGGAAGAAGAGATGAAGGAAATGTTTTGAGGCAGAATAGTTTTAAGCTTGATGCACCTTGGTGAACTGTAATTAATGAACCTGACTCCGAAAAAGGTATTTACAGTTTTCAAATTACAAGACAAGAGCAATAAGGAAAAACTGAGGCTTGGTTTTTTTGGTTGATCATTTTCACAGATAGTCAAGTGTGATTGTATGCTCAATGGGACTTCGTTTTCACTTTAAACGATATCAGTTACTATTACTCAAAAGTTTCCACTATCTGTGCTGCTTTACTTAAAAATATTTTAATGATCTTGCTGCATGTGAACCATACACCTAGAAGCAGTACACACTATCTCTCAGTGTCTTCTATGTATATTTAGCGATGCTTCGCATGGGGGTTGATTATCAAAAAAATTATTAACTCAAAGGCTTTAATGATTATTTTGCACCTTCCGTGGTGGGTTTTGTTTACTGTATGGAAATTTTAAGTTTCATCTGGTACATATTTTGTCCATTTTTAAGAATTGAATAATGTGAAGTATCTGCACAAACAAAGGTCCATTTACAATCTTGAATTTTATTAGCAGCTTATCGACCAGTTCATCTAAATACAGATCAGTGATAGCCTATGCTTGTGTCATACTACAACAGGTCTGATTATTACTCTTTTCAATGAACTCTGAGCCAGTATTACTTCGTGAAATAGTTGAATGAAATTCAAGGATCAACAGAAAAAAAAGAAAGAAAAAATAAGACAGTGATGTCGGAAGGAACTAAGATGCCTAAAGATGGATTGTAAATTTGTACGCCCTCCCCAATCCCCAATGCTCAATCATGTGGTGATATAATTCCACTGCAATTTTCAACTATTCAGAGTGAAGTGCTTTTGGACAAGTTCAAGAGATGAGCATTTTAAACAAACTATCGGGACCAAAAAATAAAATTATGATAGATCCCTGCACAAAACAGAGTCAGCTCCTTAAAAAGAATACTTTTTCAAGGTAGAGAATACTTGGATCGAGTTATCACTTGGCTATCTTTCCCTAAGACACCACTGAGAATCAGAAAACCTATGAAAAAAACTAATGGTAAAAAAGAGACCAGAAAACCTAAGAAAAAAATTAATTGTAAAAATAAATATTAACCTTTCAATTCCACCAAATTTTATGCTGCGGTAAAATAAAAAATAAACAAACAGAATTAAAAACTACGTTGAAGTAACGTGACGATCTAAGATTTAAATGAGTTTTGAATTATCAAGCAAATTATGATGTGAATTTTTATTTTTTGCAAGTATAAAAAACATTTTTACGAGAGGATATTAGGTACGTTTGAGGATTAAAGCAAAAATAAGAAGAAAAACCCATAGCAGAGACAACAAAATTTGAACTATACAAGGTGTTCTAGGTGCCCAAAGACTGGACAAAAGGGAGTGGCTTTTGTTATTTCAATATAATATTCTACGTACTTAACAGATAAGACATTTTCATGCACCTTTGCAAAAGAAAAAAAGAAAAAAGCAATAAAATAAAATAATCATTGTCATCAGTGAATCCTGCATTTTTAAAAAAAATTGATCGAAAAATTTGTTATGGAGGAACATTAGTGCACTCAGGATTAAGATTTATCCACAAAAATCTAGTGAAATTACTAAAATTCATTTAACATTTTTGTAAATTTGTAATAGTAACTGTATCCATTATAGTGCCAAAGGCCTAGATCTCTGGCGTGGCCCTTGACCCTTAGTCCCTGAACATTTTTACCTAAAGTTTAAACCTATTTACTTGAGAAATCAAATGTTTGAATCATTGTGTGGGAATGGGTATAAATTCATTACTGCAGAAGAAAGGTTTTTAGAGAAATATCAGTATCCTTGCTCTGCCATCAAAGGAAAAAGCAATGCTACTTTTTCAAAGAAAATTATCCTTTTCATTCGCAAACTCCGACTGGATAATCTCTAGATTCATAGTTTGGATACTTAAATAAATTATTACTTGCAGTTACTTGAATATTGATACAAAATTAAAATTGTTCAGGGCAAAATCCTTGACACTGGGTACTCTTCAGGCAAATCCATTTTTACCCATATTTGTCTATGGATGCCGTTATGCATGTACAGGTTATTTTTTTAGCTGGCAATCAAAGATTTTTGCTGTCTTTTGGTGATAAATGAGTATTACAAGGTGCAGATAGTACTTAATTACGAGGGGCCTCTCTTCTACTCTCAGGTTCCTGACACACTGTCGGATGATTAAAGTTTCATAGGAATTCCAGAGAAGTGGATTTTACTAAACCCAAAATGGGGTCAAAAATTTTAGGGTACATCATGATG